GTACCAGCCTGAAGAAGACACGCTGCTCACCGAAGCTTTCCTTTATTGCGTTACTACTTCCTCATGACTGACAAAATACACAACAAAAGCAACTTAAAAGGACAAGGTTTTATTTTGGCTCATGAACTTCAGTCTATCTTGGGAGGGAAAACATGGTGGAATTCATAGTGACAGAAGTAGATGGTGGAGCTGCCTTTCACGGTAGATCAGGATGAACAAAAACGGGACCAGAATAGGGCTGGGCTACAAACTCCAAGGCCCACCCTCAATGCCTGCGTCCATCAGGTACATACCCCGCTGGAAAGTCTACACCGTGTCCAGGGTACGTTCACTGCGTGCAATGCCCCAGGGGGCCACAAGAGGGCACCAGAACCCAAGTAGCTGGTAGCAGTGAACTGATTGGTGATAATGTGGGTGTTGGGAACTGAACTCATGTATTCTAGAAGAGCAGCAATGCGCTCTTAAGCACGGATCCATCTCTGCAGCCCCTCAAAGGACAGGGATCATGAAATCTGTTTATTATCATAACTTGCATACTCTCAGTGTGATTTTATCCTTCCCACCTGCCCTCCTGCCTTTCTTCCTCACTTTCTGCCCTTTCTTTCACTCTTCTTTTGAGTGTATAGGAATACGTGTGTGTCCATTTGTGTACAGGCTAGGGTATGTGCACATACACGTGCATGCACGCGTGTAGCCCAGAGGAACCCCACTGCAGTTCTCAGATATTGTCCACTATGCTTTTTGAGACAGGGCGCTCCCTGACCTGGCTTGTCAGGAGGACAGGCTGGGTGCCGGCAAACCCCAGGCCTCCTCTCTCTTCCCTAGTACAGGATCACAAGAACACACTACTATTCCTGGTGCTTTCTCTTTGTTTGTTTTGGTTGAGACAGTGTCTCACTGTGTACGTTTGGCTGGCCTGGAACTCACTAGGTAGACCAGGCTGACTAAAATTTATAGAGATTCACCTACTCTGCCTCCAGAGTTCTGGATTTAAAAACATGAACCATCACGCTGAGGTATGTCTGGATTTTTATTTTTAAAAAATTAGGGTCTAAAGGGATGGCTCAGTGGTTAAGGGAGCTTGCTGCTTTGGCACAGGACCTGAGTTCAGTTCCTAGCATCCAAGTTGGCTGGCTCACAGCCACCTGCAACTCCAGATCCAGTAAACCAAATGCCTCTGGCTATTGTAAGCACCTGTACTCACAGGCGTAGACCCACACACCAATGGGTTTTTAAGTCTTATTTTCTTATGTGTGTGAGTGCTTTGCCTGTAGGCATATCTGAACACACGTGCACAGAGCCCCCAAAGAGGCTGAGGCTGACCCCTTCCCCACTTTTGTATGTGTCTTTCTTTAATTTCTCTTTTTCTTCTTCAAGACAGGTTTCTCTGTGTAGCCCTGGCTGTTCCTGGAACTCATTCTGTAGACCAGGCTGGCCTCAAACTAAACAGAATCCAGCTGCTTTTGCTCCCCAAGTGCTGGGATTAAGGGTGTGCACCATCACTGCCTGACTTTAATTTCTACAAGAAATTGGGCAAAGCACCCCACAGGAGGAGTGATTAGATACACTTTGTCAAATGGCACTGAAATGGTTTTACACAATGAAAAAAATCTCCTGTTGGTCCCCCAACAAAAATCTGGAAAAGTTATGTGGTTGATGAAAAAATAAAGTTTGTGACTGAGGACTTGAAGGGGAGTAAAAGCCAGCATAATGGGAGCTGGTGATCTGAGGGCTCAGCTCGGAACAGGAGGCTGGTGGTGAGCAGGATCTGGGCATCTACCTAACCCAGACTTCCTGCACCACCTGGCTACCTCAGCAGGCTCCAACAGCTCCGCCCCTCCAGCTGCCCTGTGGCCCTTCCCCTAGAAGCATTCCAAGAAAGGTGCTGGGAAGGAGTGTGGCACAGTTCTGGGGGAGTGGCCAGGCTTTGTGGGGCTCAATTTGTAAAAGGGGAATGTTTTTCAATGCTAGTGGGAAATGCACCAAGTGAACAAAACGGGTTTCTAAGCCACAGTAGAAATGGCAGGATGCCTTTTTCACTCCTCCCTCTCCCCTCCCTTCCTCTCTTCTCTTTTCCTTCTCTGCTCCCCTCTCCTTCTCTCTCTTATCCCTTCTCTTTCCATCTCTCCTTCCTCTCCTACTCTCTCTCCCTCCCCCTCCTCCTGCTTCTTCCTCTTCCTCCCTCTTCCTCATTTTCTCCCTCTCTCCCTTTCCCTCTCCCTGTCTTCCTCCCTCCTTCCCTCTCTCCTTTGCTTCCTTCCTTCCATTCATTGTTTCTCCTCCACGGCTTTTGAGACTGGGTCTTACTATACATTCCCATCTGGCCTGGTACTGACGATATAGCAGGCCTCAAACTCATGGCTTACCTCCTGCCTCAGCCTCCTGAGTGTTGAGAACACAGACATGCATCACCATGCCCAGCTTCATTTTTGTTACTTTTCTAGGCCTCAGATTTAAGCACAGCCATAACAAAAACACTTGAGACACAACATGTAGATTTAAAGACACCGGCTTTGGTAGCTTGGGCATTTACCAGAAATACAATTTGTGAGATTAAGGAATCAGATGGAGAAAAGAGCAAAAAGGTCATAATACACAGGAGTGTGTGAGGGGGTCAGTGTGAGGAGGTAGAAGGGGCACAGTGAACAGACCATCAGAACCCAGCACCCTTTGCCATACCCACCTCTGAGGCCAAGATGATGGTGACAGTAAGTAACTGACAGGACACTTCTCAAACTATGCCATGTACCAGTCTTTGGTGAAAGACCACAAGCTTTCTTTGAGATGAATGCTTGCTTGGAGCTTGCTGTTCTACCGTTACTGTGCAAAACAGCACCCCTAGGACATCCCAACACCCTCAAAGGACTTGAGACCAGAGGGGCCCACCCTTCCCCAGGGCTCTGTGTTACCAACTTTAATTCTTGCTGTGACAAAACACATGATTAAAAAAACAAAACAAAACAGGAAACCCAGTGTTAGCTCATGGTTTGGGAAGGGGCACATCATGGGAAAGGTGGGAGTGGGAGCTGCCTGGGCACATCGAATCCACCGTGAAGAAGTGGAGAGCTGGCCGAAAGTCCTGCACCATAGGGATCCCAGGGCTGGGGAGAGAGCTACACAAGATCCCCCAAATCCTTGCAAACCTGGGTGTGGTAGCATGTGTCTGTAATCCCAGAGACAAGGAGGAAGAGGCGGGGGAGTTCCTAGAAGTTCAGAGGCCAGATAACCCGATACATGCCCTGGTGAGCAGCAAGAGGCGCTGCCTTAAACATGGTAGAGGGTAGGACCTAAGCTCGTCCTCTGACTTCCACATACTCCATGTGGCCTATGCACACATTCACCCCAATAAAAACAACAGTCTTCAAAGCCCACCCCCAGCAGCTCTTACCTTCCAGCAAGGTGCTCCCTCCCCCCTCCCCCCAAAGGCTCATGAGCTTCTGCTAGCTGGGGACCAACTATTCAAATACAGGGACCTACAGGGGGCACATTTCACATTCAGCTAGCCTTTCTCTACTGTCCCCTCTTTCTAGCTTCACCAAGTCCTCTTGGTTTCCAGCATGTTCAACCTATGACACCAGGTGGAACCATAGGTTGACCTGATCCTCAGGCTTTGGGAGAAAGTTGCTGACATGTGGTACTTACAGGAATAGCCATCTCAGCCCTTGGGCCCTGGGACCAAGGACCAGTGCTCAGATTTAAAGTCTGGGTACCAATGTCCATCAGAAATTAGCCCCCAAGAGACCAACCTCAGCACTCGCCAGCACGCCAGCTAGCAGATATCTGTCCTGCTGCCTTGTGGCACTGAAGTTCCAGGACACGTGCTGTTCTACCCCACGTGGATGCAACCTCAGTGGGTTTTGCATAGGAGCCCAAAGGCAGCTGCATGTTCTCTGGTCTGGCAACTCTCTCCTCTCCATCTCCATTGCTCCAAGAACCCAAAGTTCTCAGACTCTAGCACTTAGCAATGTGACGACTAAAGATAAAGACTTGAGTATGCTGTCATAGCCCCGGTCTCAAAGAGCACACAAGAACTGTGACAACTGAGGTCTATTTCTGTCTCTACATCTATATCCCTATCCACATCTGTCTCTGTGTCTGTCTATCTCTCTCTGTATGTTGGGATGTTAAGATGGTTGGTCCCTCCCAGTTTCTTCCTACAAGAGAGACATGAGGCCCACTATTCCTCTAACAAGCATCGTGTAGGATTCAACTTCTCCACGAACACCCAGGAGGCACTGTGTGTACCATGGACAGCGGAAGTTGCTGAAGGGGGACAGGCCAGGTCTGCAGCACCAGCTTCCAAGCTTTCTGAACAACTTGACCTCCTTAACCTGAGAGCAGCAAGGGGGAGGGCGAGCCAGTGTCAAATGTCGAGTTCTGTCCATGTTTGAATAGATGTTGTCTATAAGAGTAGGTAGGATTTGTTCCTAATGAGACCAACTCATCATGGTGGCGATGGTGACTGGCTTTAATTGTCAACTTGACACAATCTAGAACCACCTGGAAAGAGTCTTGGTAGGAATTGTCTACACTGGGTTATACTGTGGAAAGATCTGTGAGGACGGTCTTAATGAAGTGAATTGATTTGGGAAGACCCAACTGCCTGTGGGCAACACCATTCCCTAGGCAGGAGGTCCTGAACTGTTGAACACAAGCAAGCAAGCAAGCACACGTGCATTCATTTCTCTCTGCCTTTGACTGGACAGAAATGTGACCAGCTGCTTCAAGTTCCTGCTTTGGCTTCCCTGAAGTGATCGGCTGTAACCTGGAATGTGAGCCAGATAAAGCTTGTCCTCCCTTAACTTGCTTTTTTTTGGTCAAGAGTATTTTATCCCTGGTCTTTATAGAGAAAGGCTTTGTCTCAGAACAAAACAAACTTCAACTGTCTTTAAACCAAAGAAACCCTTCGCAGTGTCTCAGCAATCCTGCTGTCACTGGGTATGGAAAGAACCAAGATTATTTGTAGTTTGGGGGTAGAGCGCTTGAGTTGTATTTGATCCCCAACTGCAAAGTAACAACAACAAAGGCAAACAAGATGAAAAACAAAAGGCAGATGAGGCCGCAGGCTGCATTGTGGGATTGCTAACATATTTATTTCACAAGGAGGGGAGATGTGGTGAGGCCATGATAAGGATATCACCAAAAGAGACACTGGATCCCACAATGGGCACCTATGGGGTTTGGCTCTGGGCAGGAGATGGCCAAGGTCAGTAGTGGGGAGATGAGAAAAGGGGTACCCTTGCTATGTCCTCTGGGCCACCCCTCATTCTTCTAGGCATCCTTGTCCCCATCCAGTGAGCAATGAAGCCACAAGCCCAAGACCACACAGCTACTTCTGCTCTAGCACACACACACGCTCAAGCACGCAAACACACACCCAGCCACACACATCACCCAGGCAGGCACACTCTTTTCCTGTGCATGCAGACACATTCATATATTAACTCTGATTTATAAGTGCACCCTAACCAGAGGGCAATTGGAAAGAAGCAATCACTCTTAAAAGAGGAAAACGGCCGCTTCTGTCCCCCGTCAGCCAGCAGAGCGTGGGGTGAAATGAGCTGAGCATTAAGCATCGCATCACAGAGGGCCCTGTGTCCTCTGCTAGGCTGACTGCAGCCTGTATGTCCTGCGCAGAACATCTTTGTAGCTCCATGAACCCAGGACACCGTGTCCTTTGCAGGCAGAGCTATCCTGGCCAGATGCTGGGAACCTCCAGCATGCTGGGCTGACTTCCATCTCTCTCTAGCTCAAACGCTGACGCTGTTCATATTTAGGACTCCAGGTGACTGGGACAGGAAGCCTCAAGAATTCAAAGGAGTCCACAACTATTGTCCCAAAGCCAACCTGCTGGGAAGGGCCGAGGAGCTGCTGCCTTGGCAGACAAACAGGCATCTGGTCCAAAGTGTCCTCAGGAGATATGGAGTCTTAGAGTCTCATTGCCTCCTCTTTCTCCATGAGGGAGGAGCTAGGATGTGGCTAAATCCTCCCTGTGTCCCCCATTTCTTGGAGGGCCAGGGTGAGTTTCACAAGCAGCTGCAGCAAAGGATGAGAGAGGAGAGGAGAGAAGAGAGATGAGAAAGAGAGACAGAGACAAAGAGAGAGAGACCCTGCCAGACCCAGCTGCTGATGCTGGGGTGAGAAATGACACAGTGGAGAGATGCGAGTGGCCTTGCCCCTTAGTAGCCAGAAGGTGCCAGTCCCTGCTCCCCACGCAAGAATGAGGGAGATCTTCAAAGTATACAGGCTGAATGCCTGAGGGGGACTTAGCATCTTCATCCAGGGCTGCCCTGGAGGAGCCTGGGAGGTCCACAGAGCATCCTTGGTGTGCCTGCTGTCTCTCCACCATGTGGCTGGTTCTGAGGATGGCCAGGCCCTGCCCTGGGTCTGGGCTCCATGTGCCCTCCTTTCTTCCATCTACTTGATGGAATTCTTGATTGTCCATCTCTGTCCTGTGCAGCTTCGAAGAATAAGGTCGATGCCAGCCAGGCCCCGGTTCTCAACCTCCAGGCACCGCCCTGTGCCCTTATTCATGATGGCTCCATTCTGGGAGGAAAGAAAAGACAGAAATAAGGGGAGAGGCAGACAGGGAGACTTCACTCTGCGTCTTGTGTTTGTGGTTCCTCATGGGAGAACAAATTCCGTCTGAGTGGTTGGACCAGGTGGGAGAAATTGGTGGTGACTGGGCAGATGATAGAGGTTTCCTGGGGTCAGAATGGTAAGATAGCTTGCAAAGCCTGGTGACCTGAGTTCCATCTTTGGGACCCAGATGATGGAAGAGAAGAACTAACTCCCACAAATTGTCCTCTGACAGGTGTGTGTGTGTGTGTGTGTGTGTGTGTGTGTGCACTCACACACACACACACACACACACACACGCAAGCTTACCATGGAAGCATGCAGATTTGAGTTTGATTCTTATATTAAAAAAAGCTGGGCATGGTGATGTACGCTTGTAATTCCAGTGCTGGGGAGGCAGAGAAAGGAGGATCGATCGCTACAGCTCACTGGCTGGCCAGCCTAGCCTACTTGGCAAGTTCCAAGCCAGTGAGAGCTCTGTCTCAAAACAAATTCAAAACAACAACAAACCCACCAAGGTAGGGGCTGGAGGGGCTAAAGACATGGCTCAGCTATAAACAATACTTGCTGGTCTTGCAGAGGGTTCTAAGTTCAGTTCCCAGCCCACCCATTGGGCAGCTCCCACCATCTGTAACTCAGTTCCAGAGGATCTGACACCCCCTTGTGGCCTTTGTGAGTACTGCACTAGTGCGCACACACACATAATTAAAAATTAAAATTAAATCTTAAAAAACAAATAATAGCAAACACGGTAGTTGGTGCCTGTAGACTCACTTCTGACCTCCACGTGTATGTACGTGTATACCTGCATACACAGGAGTGTGTACACACAGAAATTTCCAGGAGTATTTGAGATCCGACTTTCTCAATCTTGGCTGAGAGTGCTTAGCAATTCAGGAATCCTCTCTGTGGACTTCTCCTAAGCAGCCCCAACACTGCTGATGGAATCAGGTAGATTACTTCTCACAGAAATCCTTCCTCCAGTCCTCCTAGAATCGGATCCATGATCTTGGCCTAGGGTTGGCAGATGTGGCTTCTCGGGGCACTGTGTGGGGAGTCTTGAGGACATCAGCCACACTCCTGCCTATGACCTGCAGCGTTTTTTACTTGTTCCTCCCCCAGCCCTGTCTCTGGAGAGCCCACCTGGATGAAGTTCCAGCGCTTGTACAAGCTGCTCTTGACTTTGTCACAGTCCAGGAGCTGTGGCAGACGACTCTTGGAGTTGTCCACCAGGCAGCGGGTATCGGGGAGGAGTGTGGTGGTCCCCAGAGCGCCCAAGTGCAGAAAGCCTTCCTTGGTATAGCGGGCGAGCTGTAGAGGAGGAAGAGTGGAAAGAGAGAGGGAAGGGTGAGACCATGAGGCACCAGCTTTCTGTCGGTTCCACGGTTGTCTGTGAATGCCCAACACATAGAAAAGCCTGCTCTAGAAGGACCCTGGACTAGCTGAGCTTGGGCATAGATACACCACGTTACGACTCCTTTCTCCCTTCCTTTCTTATTCCCCTCCTTCTTTCCTCCTCCCAACCTCTCTTCCTTATTCCTCTGTTTCTTTCTCCATTCCTTTCTTCTTTCTTTCTCCCTCTCTTTTTCCTACTTTCCTTGCCTCCTGCCTCTTTCCTTTTTACTTCTTTCCTTTCTTCCTCTCTTTTTTTTCTTCTTCCCTTTCTTCCTCCCCCCTTTCCTATCTCTTCTTTCCTTCCTTTCTCTCTCTCCTTTCCTTATTACCTTTCTTCCTGGTACTGAAGACTGAATCCAGGGCCTCATGCATGTTAGGCAAGCACTCTGCTATTGAGCTACATCTTCAACCCTCTTTTTACCTTTTAACTTTGAGGCAGGAGCTCTCCATGCTGCCCTGAACTCTCCCTGTAGCTCAACCAGGCCTTGAACTTACAGAAGGTGCCTAACGAATCCAGACAAAGCCAGCTGCCATGTCTGTCACAGTGCAGAAACATGGAGCACAATACTTAGAGGAGGAGAGATTCACTTGGCTCCTGGTTTCAGAGGTTTCAGTAAAGAGCAATTGGCTCTGTTGTTTCTGGCATGTTCTGTGATGATTCAGAACACCATGGAGGGCAGCACGGGGCAGAGCAGAGCTCCTCACCTCATGATGATCAGGAAAGCCAAGAAGGAAAGAGGGAAGACAATCTTCTAACCACAGGTGACCTACTTCCTTCAGGCAGGCACCATCTCCTAATTCAAACCACCTCCCCACAATGTCGTGAACCTGTGGCTCCATCAATAGATCAAACAACTGATTAGATTAGAGCCCTCATTATCCAGTCATCTCTCAACAATTAGAGGTTGAAGCCTTCAACATATGCTCATTTTCAGGAGACTTTTCTTATCCAAGTCTTGGTACTGGTTCAGATAATAGAACTGTCTTGGCAACTAGTTATTTTAGTTATATGTTTAAGGTATACTTTATAAATACTCTATAAGAAATAAATAATGCAATTTCACAACCCCACAATAATAGATTCTATCATTGCTTACGCAGTACTTGCTAACTGCTGTGGAGATAGTGTGGCTCAGCATCTTTCTCAAGACAGAGTCCATGACAGGAACAGCACCTCTGTAATAGTTAGCAAGTGTTGCATAACAAAAACATACAGTTATTATTGCTGATGAGTGTATGCGTCAGCTAAACGGTTCTGTGATCTGGGCTCATAGTATGGTTTGGCTATGAAGTGTTTCCTGAAAAGGATCATGGGTTGGGCTCCCAGGCTACAGGTGAGGAAACGGAGGCATGAAGACATGTGGCTGTGGTCCAGTAGCTGGACAGAAGAGGTGCTAATTACTGAATCTTCCAGAGAGCCTGGATAGTTCTGCTTAGGAATCAACCAAGAACGTAGCCGGATATGATGACTAGTAGTAATCACCAACTTGACAGGATCTCGAATCACCCAGGATACAAACCTCTGGACGTGCTTTCCAGGTAGTTAACTGGTGTGAGAAGACCCACCCATCCCGTTCTCAGCTGGGATCCTGGACTGAACAAGAAGGAGAGAGTGAGCCGAATGCTAGCTTTCATTTCTCCATGCTTCCTGACTACAGAGTTCATGTAACCAGCTGCTAATTACACTTTTGCCAGCATGACTGTACCTTAGGCTGTGAGCCCCAATAAGCTCTTCCTTCCTTGAATTTTGCTGTCAGGTGTTTTTGTCACAGCAGTGAGAAAGGGGACCAATACACTAGGGGTCTGCTCAGAAGCAGGAGTGGCTCTTCTCTGGTGATAAGATTTTCCTGGAGGGCTTCTCATCTCTCCATGAAAGCTACTCAGAAGCCCTTGGCTCCAATCTCCCAAAGGAAGCCTTCCTGCTCTCCTTTAACAAGTGATAGTAAGCTTATTAAGTGTTCTTGAAAGAGATGCCATGAATGTATGCTCTAAGCTCAAATTAGTTCCAAATCAGAGTAATTGTTCGAGGTAAAATGATAAGAAACCCAGAAGTCCTCCCTTTCCCTCCCTAAACAACGTTGCCCCGAGTGTGTTTCAATTCACCCAAATGCAAATTGATGAATGACAGCAGGCTGCCTTTATGTTCCAGGGAAAGATATACACAGCTGCTCATTGAAATTATGAATCAATCTATTATCCAGCAGGCAAATGAGCGGTGCTAAGAACATTAATTAACCGAGCATATCTGTGACCCAGATGTTGAAAGAGCAGAGCTTAATGCTGCTTGGAGTTAGAGGTTTCCGTCTGAGGTCTGTTCGAGCATGAAAACCATCAGACCCTCCATGCCAAAATCAGATACCAGCCCAAGCCATGTTGGCACCAGAGTGGGCAGATAAAAAAGGGGTGTTCGAGTTTCATTTCTGTCGCTGTGATAAAGACAAAAAGCAAAACACAAGCAAACAAAAAACCTGGCCAAGAGCAACTCAGGGGAAGACAGAGTTCATTTCACCTCACACTTCCAAGTCATGGCCCATCAGTGAGGAAAGTCGGGCAGGGACACAAGCAAGAACTTAAAGCAGAAACCATGGAAGAATGCTGCTCACTGGACTGCCCACAGCAGTGGGGCTCGTGGACTATGGGACATCCCCTCCCCCCAGCATCCCAAGGACTCGCTCGTTCTGGCTCCACCTTACCCTTCCCACCCCAGGTGTGTAGCAGTACCTGGCTGCCCTGAGGGAGGACACAGAGCTTGGAGCCACACACAGGTTCATCCTCACCCAGCTTTCTCATATAGCTCAGGGCCATCTGCCCAGGGAATGGCATTGCCCACGGCAAGCTGGGCTCTCCTACATTCATTACCAGTCTCCCACAGGCACATCTGCAAGCCAATGTGATATGGGCAATCCACAACTGAGACTCCCTTCTCAGGTGACTCTAGGCTGTGTCAAATTGACGGCTGTCTTAGTTGGGTTTTATTGCTGTGAAGAGACATCATGACCATGGCCACTCTTATAAAAGAAAAACAATTAATTAGGGCTAGCTTAAAGTTTCAGCGGTTTAGTCTGTTGTCATCATGGTGAGGATCATGGCAGCACACAGGCAGACATGGTGCTGGATGCTGGAGGAGCTGAGAGTTCTATATCTTAATCCGCAGGCTGCAGGAGACTGGGGGCCACACTAGGCCTAGCTTGAGCATAGGAGATCTCAAAGCCCACCTCCACAGTGACACACTTCCTCCAACAAGGCCACAACTCTTAATAGTGCCACTCCCTATGAGCCAAGCATTCAAACACATGAGTCTATTGAAGGTGTTCCTATAGCCACCACAGCAGCTAAGTAGGTGGGATTTTCACACCTATATACAGAAGTTCTGCTGGGTTCGTGGGCCAGTACCCAGATTCTTTCATGAAGGTTCCCTGTGGTCTTAAAGATAATGGATATTGCAGATTGAGTAAGGTGACTCTCACAGGCTCATATATTTCATTCTTGGTTCCCATTGGTGATACCATTTTTGGAGGCTGTCAGACCTTGAGGAGGCAGGGCATTGCCAGAGGAAGAAAGTAGTGCAGGGACTCTAGCAGAGCCAAGCATGGTAAACCAGGCCTGAGAATGGCAAGCATGGCTCTGGTGGCATCGCCCTTCTTTCATTCCCTCTTCCTTGCTAAAAACCATCATTACATTCTTAAAGCTAGTCACCATGGTCCATTCCCTTCTTTGGCTACTTCCTCTTCCTAAGGCTGACCACCAAGCAAGGTCCAGCGTTCAAAGTATTAAAGTCTAGCAATCAAATCTCCTTTTTGGTTACCCTAATTAACCTGTCCAATCAAAATTAAACACCTCATCCTAACAGCAGGTTCCCTCTTTTCCTTTATAAACCACCATTTGCCTATGTGCTACATCTGTCTCCTCTCTACCCAGAGGCAGTCCTTTGTCCCTCTAGGGTGAATATCCCTTTCCCCCTCTCCCTTGCTCCTTTTCTCTTCTCCCTCATCCTCTGTCTCCTGTCTTTGTCTCTTGTTTCCTGACCCTTGTCCCTCTGAGACAAATAAATCTCCTTTGTGCTGAAAACTTGGTCTTGGGTTATCTTATGTAGATACTGGCCCTTTCAAGCAAGTCAGCGGGGGGCATCTTTGTAGATCTATTATTCTGGGCTGTTTCATGTCTCATGTTGGGTCACAGTCATGAAGTAGAAAGCCTTTACACATACCCTTTGCCAGGATGTGAGTTGCTCCACCAAGCTTGCCCCACAGTGACAGCCCAAGACCCTCCGAAAGCAGGAGTTAAAATAAATCCTCTTCAGTTAGCGTGTTTATGTCTGGTATTTCTGTGACAGTGATGAGAAAAGTAACCAATGCCATCAGACCAACAGATCCTATCCCCACTTTTCTGTTCCAAGGTAGGAGAGCAGTGGACCTAGGAACCTGCTGTCAAACAAAATTCTCCTGTCTTCTCTCAAGTCTGGGTTGTAAGCTTATCTTGGTGAAGTCTGCCTATTGTGACTTTTCCCCCCACATCCCTCATGTTCTGGTCCCCTGCCTCCGAGGCACTGATTCAGATATTTCATTGATCAGACATACTCATTGACCTTCCTCTAGAGTGTTCTGGCTTCAACTTTCAAAGCCAAGCCTTCTGTGTGATTCACTCTCTTCCTTCCTGTCTTCCCTAGTTGTTCCAGCCACTATTCATCTCCTCTCTTGTTTTTGGATGCATGTGGATATGTACACTTTGGTTCCTCTTTCCCAGCTATGGTTAAACCATATCCTTTTGCCTTTACTTGCCACCTAATGGCATTTGGGTTGTTTCCACTTTGGAGCATTGTGAATCACACTGCCATGGGAAATCATGTGTGTGTGTGTGTGTGTGTGTGTGTGTGTGTGTGTGTGTGCATGTACATATACATGTAGGAACAGAGGTCA